CACCAGGAGAGGGTAGAGCAAGAGTCCCACCCGCAGCAGCAGGTGCAGTTACAGACCCAGCAGGAGAGAGTAGAGGAGGAGTCACGGCCGCAGAAGGAGAGGGTAGCGCAGGAGTCCCGGTCGCAGCAGCGGGTGCAGCTGCAGTCGCAGCATGAGAGGGCAGAGACGGAGCCACAGGAGCAGCAGCAGGGGCCGGTACCGTCGCAGCAGACGCCAGAGGAGGCGGAGCAGCAGCGACTGCGACTGCGCGACCTCCCCGACCCAGCACCTGCACGCTTTGTTCGTGGTCCCCTACCGTCCCCTCCTGTTCCCCCTGTTGAGTCCCTTTCCTCGTCCCAGTGGACTCGTCGTTCTCCCCTCAGTCGTGCTGTGTCCCCAGAGCGTCGTCGGTCCCGTTACCGTGCAGACGGCCCGTTCCACCTTGTTCTTTGCTCTCGTGTTCCACCTCCTCCTGTCCTTCCACAGCCCCCTGAGTCGTCCCTCACTGTGCTTCACGACCCGTTGCCGACTACCTCCGTGCCTGCCGTCCTGTCGTCTCCCGTGTTTTGTCCGCTTTGATCACTCACCCGACTGCACCTCTTTCGTCTGTCTCAGCTCTTGTTACCACTGTCGCTGGCTTTGCCTCTTCCGACCGCCTTGACTACGCCGCTCACGTGGTGAGTGGCCCTGCTCGTTCTCCGTTCTCTGGGGGTGCTCCTATCTTTCCCTTGCAGGTCCTCGAGGACATGCAGTTCGAGCTTGGTTTCCTTGCGGCCGCTGTTCCTCATCTCTGCGCCATGCTACTTGCCCCTGAGGGGGATCCAGACGCCCTTGACATCCCGATCCCTCGCACTCACGCCGAGGCGGTCTCGGGACCCTGGGCTTCGTACTGTATAGCAGCTGAGGAGGCAGAGATGGCATCTTATAGGTCCACAGGCACTTACGTCGATGCAGTCCCACCACCTGGGACGAACGTCGCCAGTGGCCGATGGCTCTACAAGGTGAAGCGGCCGCCTGGATCACCACCTGTGTTCAAGGCGCGCTATGTGGCGAGAGGCTTCAGTCAGCGAGAGGGGGTGGACTTCTTCCAGACCTTCGCTCCCACCCCGAAGATGAGTACTCTTCGGGTCTCGCTGTATATTGCAGCCCAGCGCGACTACGAGTTGCACTTCATGGACTTTTCCACCGCGTTCCTTCAGGGGAGCCTGCACGAGCAGATCTGGTTGCGTCGCCCGCCTGGCTTCACTGGCTCTTTCCCACCTTGGACCCAGCGGCAGCTGCGTCGACCAGTCTACGGCCTGCGTCAGGCTCCACGTGAGTGGCACGACACACTTCGCTCGACCCTTGCAGCGCTTGACTTCTTTCCGTCGTCTGCTGACCCGTCACTGTTCGTTCGCCGTGGCTCGACCCCGTTCTTTGTCCTGGTCTACGTTGACGACCTGGTGTTCGCCACTCCCGACTGACGCGCGCTGGCCTCCGTGAAGGAGGAACTGCAGAGGAGACACACTTGCACTGACCTTGGTGAGCTGCAGCACTACCTTGGGCTGCAGATCACCAGGGACAGGGCAGCTCGCACCATTATGCTGACTCAGTCGCATATGGTCGAGCAGATCCTCACGGGGTTTCGCTTCCCGTTCTCCAAGGTACAGCTCACCCCTCTTGGTGTGGATCATGGGCTCACGTCTCCACCTTCGGATGAGTCATTTGAGTCCAGTGGTCCATATCCTGAGCTGGTGGGTTGTCTCATGTACCTGATGACCTGTACTCGCCCAGACCTAGCTTACCCTCTTAGCGTCCTTGCGCGCTTTGTTGCGCCTGGGAGACACCGACCTTCCCACTGGTACGCTGCTAAGAGGGTGGCGAAGTATGTGGCGAGTACATAAGGCATGGGACTTGTCCTTGGAGGGAAGCAGCCAGTTACACTCACAGGTTACTCGGACTCGTCGTGGGCCGACGACACAGAGACGCGTCGGTCTACACAGGGGTACTCCTTTAGCCTCGGGGCAGCTGCTGTTTCGTGGCGGTCGACTCGGGCGTCGTCCGTCGCCGGTTCCAGCTGTGAGGCAGAGGTGTACGCTGCGGCCATGGCCGCTCAGGAGCTTCGCTGGGTGTCTTTCCTTCTCACCGACCTTGGTGAGCGGCCTCGCTCTCCCCCAGTCTTGTTCGCCAACAACAGGTCTGCTGTCCTGTTGTGTGAGGAGCCCCGACTGGTTGGGAAGGCGAAGCAGATCCAGCTTCGTTACTTCCTTCTGCGTGAGTTGCAGCAGCGTGGCCATGCACTCGTACGACGTGTGGTCTCTGAGGCCAACACTGTAGATATCTTCACCAAGGCGTTGCCGCCTGTGACCACCAGCGAATCTGCACCCAGCTTGGCCTTGTGTCGGCCCGTCCTCACTTGCTTATGTAGAGATGCTATGTCCTTCTTGTCTTGTACTCTTGCATCTCATTATATTTGCTATATGCCTGCATGTGAACTGGCCTTGTGGCCCTTTTTGCTTGCTCTCGGAGTGTGTGGTGACTTTGAGCTCCACCCTGAGATTTGTCTTGTTCTTGTGGACTGGTCTTGTGACCCTTGCTTGTTCTTGCTGACTGGACATGCGACCCTTGCTTGCTCTCAGACTGTGTGTGTCCTTGCGACCTACCCTGAGATATGTGTTGTTTTTCCACAGGATTACCGTCACCTAGACTATGGGGATGTGTCAACATATATTTTATATGTGTTGTTTAGGTTAGTCTAGGTGTTACATTTCTACTTCCTTGCATGATTAGGGTTTGCTATATCTAAGGTTGTACTTCACATTTTCTATCAATTCATTGAGTTTCATATCGTAACATCAGGCTCTCGACGCTCAGGAGTGGAAGCACGAGTCCCAGGCTCACGACGCGCAGTCAGGAACGCAGTCACCTCAGTGTGAGGAGCAGGAGCAGGCAGCAGGGAGCCAGGCAGTAGTTGTGGCTGAGACTGGTCAGTCGGTGGGAACAGTAACGGAGGAGTAGTACCAGCAACCGGGAACTCAGTAGCAGCAGGCGGGAGACTGAGAAGGTGACGAAGCGCAGACGGCTGCGGCTGAGTAGTCGCACCCCCAGAACCTCCAGCTCCAGTAGCAACAGCACCCCCCGAAGTAGTACCACCAGCTCCACCACCGGGACTGCCCCAACGGACAGCCCACTCGCGAAGCTGCAGCGGCGAGAGCGACTCCTGCCGACTAGCACCACTAACTCCAGTACCTCCAGTAGTACCTCCAGAAGTACCTCTAGTGTCAGCACCGCCTCCAGTACCAGTACCTCCAGCACGGCCAACTCCAGGACCACCAGTACTAGCACCTCCAGGGCCAGCACCTCCAGGACCTCCAGCAGCACCTGTGTCTCCAGCACCAGGAACACCGGCACTAGCACCTCCAGGGCCAGCACCTCCAGAACCTGCAGCTCCAGCACGTCCAGCGCCACCACCAGGACTGCCCCCAGCAGCACAAAATTTTTAAATTCAGTATTGTCTTAAAAATTACACTGACAGCACAGTTTCATATCAAATACGCCACTGATATTTCAGTATGGACTTGTCACCCCAAGACTGAACCATCAGTGTGAATTTTGTTTTGGGGGGGTATTGAACTGATGGGTCAGGGTTTAGGTGATAGGTTTTAAAATCAAAGACAGGCTCATGATTGGACAATTCTGCATCATTGGCAAATGTATTCATCAAGCCAAACAAAGTAGTATGGCTAGGCTAAGAAACAGACGTTAAATTGAAGTGTGGACGAAAATTATGATGAGACGAAAAAGCTGGAACACCAAGTAACAACTTGCCTCAGTCGAAACATGGTGATAATGTTTGGTAAATCAAAGACAAGCTCATGAATTGGAACATGTTTTACATCACCGACAAGTGGCTCTGCGAGACTTATAGCTCCAATCGAAATAGCCAAGGTTAACTTAGTGAAATGTGGGAGCAACCACATTCGTGGGACAAAAAAAGAATTGGTTTGGTGAGGAGAGCAGTCAGCTGGCAGTGCATGTGAGTATTCTTCATCGTGTATCAGCACAGGTCTACGAGTTCGATCATCATGCTGCTCTGACCCATGGCGAGACAAATGAGGCTCCATAAAAGCAGGAAAGTATTAGCTTTGAAAAGTTCAGCGAATCAATTGCCTCAGTAAAAATTGAAGTTTGATGATTGTGTGCATTTATAGGCGTGCTCAGGAGTTTACGGAAATAAAAGCATCACTAGCAATATGGCTGGACCGTGCAGTGGGGAAAACAGCAGTCAAAAGGTGAAGAAAAACCAGGATCGAGATGTTTTCCACATCAGCATTCAAACTGCAGACAAGGAAACGTTTTAACGGACTCAAAGCAGACGGTCGGACACTGGACCAGAAGGCCCATTGGCAAACAAGAGTAATGACTGGAGCAGTCAGATGGTAGTGCATGTGAGTACTCATCATTGTGAATCAGCACAGGTCTATGAGGTTGATCATCATGCTGCTCCTGACGACCACACTAATTTCTGACATACCAAACAGCAGGCGCGGGGAGCACGACGTGCCTGAAACACTAGACCTACTGCTTCAAGCAGCAACACAGGGTTATGTCAAGCATATTTTGACCTGTAAAAAGAATGACGTTCAGGAGGACGGGAAGTGGAGGGGGCTCGAGAAGGAATCATTTGCCTCAGTAGAGTTGAAGTTCGGTGATGTGTGCAATCACAGGCACGCTCAGGAGTTTACGGAAAAACGAGCATCACTGGCAAACGACCCCACCGAACAGTGCATGGTAAAACCGAAACCTGTAAGGGAGGAGCCCCTGACTGGGGACGAGGTAAGGTGAATCATCATGGCACTGACCTGTGACAAATATAACACGGAGCTGGTCAGTGGTTCGTCCAGCCTTGTCTATGCTAAGTCCATGGGGGACAAGAGCCGAGGTCAGCCGGTTTCAGGCCAGGTCAGCGGTACTGAAGCCAGATCAGCGGCAGAGAAGCCAAGTCCACATCATGAAGACGAGTCGGAGGCAGGGAAGCGGAGTCAACGCCATTCAAACGGGTCAGCAAGCGTGTATGAGAGCCGCATGGCACTGTCCGCTGCTTCCAGGATCCTTCGTTTCGCCTCCAGGTAGGTGAGGTACGGCAGGCCCGAATCCAGCATTCGAGTGAGCGGCAGCTCCAATGGCTGCAACACACAAGCACCAAGCATGCACAATGCAACCACCAAGCATCCACCATGCAGGCACCAAGCACGCAATCAGGAATAAAGCAGAAACAATCACCCACAAGCACCCGGCACCAAGCAGACACCCAGCACCAAGCAAGCATCCAACACAAGCAAGCATCCAGCACAAGCAAGCATCCAGCACAAGCAAGCATCCGGCACAAGCAAGCATCCAGCACAAGCAAGCATCCGGCACAAGCAAGCACCCAGCACAAGCAAGTACCCAGCACAAGCAAGCACCCAGCACAAGCAAGCACCCAGCACAAGCAAGCACCTAGAACAAGCAGGCATCAGCACGAGTCACAGCCCAGAACACACACGAAAGGCAGAATGCACTGAGCTAAATGAAGCGACCACAGAAAGCAGTAAGAGACTGCGAACGGATGTGGGGAGAGGTGATGGGACAAGGAACGGTCACTGAGGCTCAATGTGATTTCCTCCTCACCTGAATGGTCGAATCCCTCTCCACTACTTTCGCAAACTCCCTCGTCTCTGCGCCAAACCCCGTCCCCCGCGGCCCCTAGTAGTGGTGCATGCGCAGCTGCGCGGGATCCGCACGCTCAGTTGCGTCCACGGCCATGGGGAAGAAGTGCGGCGCAACGCGCATGTCCGCCCACTGCTCCACCGCTGCCACGCGCACGATGGGCTTCGAGCACTGCAGGTGTTGCCGCCAGTCCGCTAAGTGCTGGCACTTAGTAAACCGGCAAAGAAGCAGGGAAGAGCGCGGGGCTTCGTTGTTGCCTACGACAAAAATGTTAGGCGCGAGCACCTGAAAAGGGGTTTAGAGCGGGATTGGAGGAAGGCAAAGGGCCTCGAGGTGGATTTAGAACGGTTGAAACACTGGACAAGCATGTAAAGACATCGCTCAGTATGACAGCATGCAATAACGCACATCATGCATTCAGACGTGTGCAAGACGCGTATTTGGGTGACGGAGGGATCCGAGAGGGAGACGTTGCGCATAAAGCGGAAGAGAAACCCCGCGCGGAGATCCCGAGGGTCGAAGATGAACTCGTCGACGTCGCAGAAGACCACCCACGTGGACGCGTTGCGATGCTCCTTGAGGTAGTGCAGTATCGCACCATTCTGCTCGGGAAAGACGTTGTACGCCGCGCTGAGGATGTGGTGCAGCGGGAGGTAGGTGAGGTAACCCGCGCGGATGAAGGGACCCAGGGCTTCTGCCTGCCGCGCTGAGGATGTGGTGTAGACGTGCTCCACGCCAGCTAGCCGTGTGAAAGCCACCCACTGCACGATGACACCAAACATGCATTTCATGCCCCATGAATGATAGCCCGCCACCGAACGCAACCCAGTCACACCACACCAATGCAACAAAGCACACCGGAGGGAGAAGAAAGGGCGTGAGAAACGAAGGAGCGAGTGGAACTAGGGAGACGTGAAACCAGCGAGATAGGACAGCGAGACGGGAACGAGAGCAGATGCAGAGGAATAGAGACGGAAACGGGAAGAAAGTTTGGTGGTTAGGGCGAGTGGGGGGGTGTTGGAGGGAGGGGAGGGGGGGGGTTTAAAGGAAAGGAGTGGAGATGAGTGTACGATATATTGTTGGGGAGAGGGTGCCAGGGCTTGCTTGCCAGATTTCGAAGGAGGGGAAATTGAGTCGGTCACCGCGAAACACGCGATTGTATACCATGGCAGAGAGGAAGTACTTGGGGGACGCCAGCACCCGCCGAGGAGCAGGCAGAACAGATGCTTCGGCAGCACCGCCAGTCTGATCTGCAACCTCCTCAGATTTCACCGAGTTCGCAAGTTCAGCGTCCTCAGCATCGTCAGTCACCGGGTCACGCACTACCCTGCCGTCTGCTAACGCATCGTTTGGAGCAGCGCTGTCTGCCGTTTCCGTTTGCCTCTGCAGGCTGTTCTGCTCGCGCAGGTGCTGGTAGATCGGAGGCTCGTCCCGGCGAGTCACGGTCTGCTCCGGCAGTAGCAGAGCGGCGACAGGCGCGTGAGCGGGTAGATGCAGACCCTGTGGCTCTCGTCCAATGGCCTCGAAATCAGCATCGCTCGCGGATCTGAACATGCAGTGTGATGAGAGAAGGTAAAAACCATACTGAAAGCAGATTCGATAAATATATCAGACGGACTAGATAGAGAAACAACAGTTACGAAGGAGAGCACGGAATTTTGAGGAAGAATTTAGGGAAAAAAAGAAATCCTTACAGTGTGGGAAGGCGTCTGGCCAAGGCATCAAGCCTGATGCGAAGAACCGCAAGAATCGCATTGGCGCGGGAAAAATCCGCTGGAGTCGAGCCGATTTGAGCTTTGACCGTAAGTCCTTCGATGTTACCGATTCGTGGCTGCGGTGCGATGCCTGCCTGAAGAAGTAGGAAGTAATTAACTTCCTGAAAAACACCAGATAAGCAGCATGCGACGAGAATCAAGAGAACGGACGACATGGAGAAGACTGATAAAGAATGAAGTGATAACGGTCGAAGGCTTGCAGAAAGCTTCACCATGGCATTGTCGCCGACGCCTGATGAAGCCTCGCGAAGGAACGGCGCTGAGAGTTGGAAGGCCAGATGCTGCAGGAGCATGGTCGTCATGACGCCTAGCAGCACGTTGAGGAAGAAGCGTAGATGCTGATGCACGATCGACGGTCCGCGTGACGTCCAAGCCGGCGCCATAGCAGCTGCAGACGCCATCGTGGCTGGCAATTCGGGTTTAGAGGCAGAAATAAAAGCGCATCCTTACGACCCAAAAGTTCTGTCGTTTGCTTTGCAAGCTCGCACCGAAGGCCACGCAAACTTTGAAATAATGCATACCCGACAGCATGCTTACTACTTCGCAGGAATCACGACGACGCGATGTGAGGAAAAGCCCAACGACACGCATCACCTCATGCCTTCTAGCGACAAAGGGTCTTCAGCTTAAGGAAGCTGTATGCGACCCTACCATTTGAGATGACGACTAGCAGTGCTTGAAGAGGCAAAAAACCTCAGCGATGGAGCCCTCTGGAACAACCTGGTCGCCAGAACCAACCCCCGGAACTACCGAGCAGAGGTCTTTCTTCCTCATCTCACCACAACTGGGATTCCCGATGTGACGTGTGTCAGAATGTTATTATTGTCTAGCCTGCAGTGGGGTACTCCATAGTGAGTACAGCCCAATTAGGGTTTGCTATATGTATCCAACTGCTTGCTAGTGAAACCCCTCCTTTCTTCATTCTTGTTTCTTCCTACTACTTCTGACATTGTTTCAGAGCAGGTCGACCCCCTTGGGTCGATCCTGTGGGTGGGCCCCACCCGATGCTTCCGCTGCTCTACTGCTGTCGCGCGCCCCTAGCGCGTGACCCTTTCTTCCTGCCGCGCGCCCGGAGCGCGCGGCGTTTTTCATCCCGCCGTGCGCTCGGGGCGCGCGGCGGTTTTCTGCCCGCCGTGCGCCCCGAGGCGCGCGGCGGTTTTCTACTCCGTGGATCCGCGCGCGCCCCCCCCAGCCATCCCGTCGCCAGTCGTGGCGCCCTCTCCCGTCGCCCGTCGTGGCGTCGCGGGGGCCGCGCGTCCCCCATATCCCGTCGCCCGTCGAGGCGCCTCGGGGGCCGTGCGTCCCCCCCCTTCCGTCGCCCGTCGTGGCGTCACAGGGGCCGCGCGTCCCCCCCCCCCCCCCCGTCGACCGTCCAGTCGCCCCTGGGGACCCGCGCGCGCCCCCTGCGATCCCGTCGCGTCGCCCTGCGACCACCCCTCCCCGCACACCCGAGTTCGCTTACTGCACACCCGAGTTCGCTACCCGCACGCTTGTGCACGCTTCGAGCACACCTGAGCTCGCTTACCGCACACTCAGGGTATGGGGGTGACGGGTATGGTGGTAGCGGGTGTGTGAACCGTCCCCTGCTCCTCCTCCTCCTCCGTCTCCCACTGCTGCAGCTGCCGCTGAGGGGGGTGGGTGTGTGGGAGCCGAAGGAGTGGTGCTAGGGGGGTGACGTGGGAGTGGAGCTAGGGGTACAGCAAGGGGTGTGTGAAAGGGGGGTGGGAGAGTTGGGGGAGGTTGAGCGGAGGCTGCCGTCTTGTCGTCCGCAGCACCTGTAGTCCGGGGCTCTGTCCTGGTAGCCCAGAGAGCCTGCTGCGCCTGTCGCCCGTGGGTCCGTTGCTCCTGTAGCTCCTCGTAGCCCGTGAGCCAGTTACTCCAGTAGTCCGGGGCGCTGTCCCGGTAGCCACTGTGCCAGCCACTCCTGTTGCCCGTGTGTCTGCAGCTTCAGCCGTCGTCTCCCATCTTCTCTCCTCTCACAGTCCCTCCTCCTCCTCACTTGCCCGCTGTGACTACCACTAGCTTTGCTCATTGTGCTGATTACACCCCACTTTGGCTATGGGGGTGTGTCACAATGTTATTATTGTCTAGCCTGCAGTGGGGTACTCCATAGTGAGTACAGCCCAATTAGGGTTTGCTATATGTATCCAACTGCTTGCTAGTGAAACCCCTCCTTTCTTCATTCTTGTTTCTTCCTACTACTTCTGACAACGGGGGCACATAGACAATACCGCGTGGCTGCCTGCCTGACTGGTGGTCACCTCCAAGATAAATGTACTGTAGAAAATGAAGGCAAAACGACTAAACAAAAAAAAAATTAGCATGCTGTGTAACCAATAAATTTTGCATCACTTCACTACTGAAACACGTTGTTAGGAATATTACCGTATCAATCTTTTGAGCATAACATGCCTCCCAATGTTTGAAGGTTGGGGTTTTCATGCTTGACTCAACTGGGTCTTATTGCTTTGTAAAACACAGCAGATTGCTCCACTAGTAGATGTATGCGACTCGACTACATAACAATCAGATCCATGTGCAATGCCAACCATGCCCACCCATAATTCCCTACCATAACGCACCAGTTACCATAACGTACCGGTTACCATAACGCACCAGTTACCATAATGTACATGTTACCATAACACACCATTACAATAACGCACCTGTCACCATAACGCACCTGTTACCACAACACACCAGCTACCATAAGCACATGTTATCACAACGAACCTGTTAACACAACGCACATTACACAAACACACTTGTTACTAGGGCTGACGTTTCAAATTAGGCCTCCCTGATTCCTAAAAAAAAATCTCATTGTACTCTGATGTCAAATGTAATAGACAGTAGTGAGGCATGTCATGTGGGGTACTAACATTAGGGTTTGTTATATGTACCCCAACTGATTCTAATGACACCATCCTTTTCCATTATGAGATGGTATCGGTTAGGTCAGACTAGGATCCGCGCCCTGCCCGTTGCGCCCGTCGCACCCATCGAGCCCGTCCCGCCCGTAGCGCCCGTCGCGCCCTGCTCGTAGCCCCCTGCCCGCCGCGCCCGTTGCGAGCCGCCCGTCCCGCCCGTAGCGCCCTGCCCGTCGCGCCCGTTGCGCCCTGCCCGTCGCGCCCGTTGCGCCCTGCCCATCGCACCCAACTACTCTCGCTACACCACCGTTTTCCCTTTGGCGAAGAAGTCTGACGTGACTTCTACGCTGATCCGGTGGTTGCTCACCACAGAGGTACTCGTCACCGTCGTGTCAGTTGTCTTCACTCCGACCGCGGGGGTGAGTTTCGCTCCGGCATTCTTGCCAGCTTCTGTGCCGAGCAGGGCATCGCCCAGTCTTGGACCCTTCCAGAGTCTCCACAGCAGAATGGGGAAGCTGAGCGCCGCATAGGCTTGGTCACGGAGATTGCACGCACCTCCATGATCCACGCCCGTGCGCCCCATTTTTTGTGGCCCTACGCGGTTCGGTACGCCGCTCACCAGCTGCACCTCTGACCACGTGTCTTCCGGCCAGGGGTTGCACCGACCAGTCTTTGGACCGAGTCCCCTGGTGCTGCGTCGCGCTTTCGTGTCTGGGGCTGCTTGGCGCTTGTTCGCGATACCTCCGCGGACAAGCTCTCGCCTCGCACCGTTCCCTGTGTCTTTCTTGGATTCTCAGCGGACTCCTCTGACTTCACCTTTTACCACCCTCCCCTTCACCGGTTCTTTGACTCGCGCGACGTCCGTTTCACCGAGTCAGTCCCTTACTACACCCGTTACTGTCAAACATCATACATGTTTATATTGTGTAGGCTATAGTGGGTTTAGCCATAGGGGGTACAACATTGTTAGGGTTTCCTACTTGTATCACCCTGATGCCTAGTTTCATCATCCTCGTTCAGTTCTACTTTCTAACATGGTATCCGACGCCTAGGTCAGGACCTAGGACCGACGTTGGTTAGGGCCCACCGTTCCGCCGCGCCCTTGCGCGACCGTGTCTGATAGTACCTCGCGCCGTCGTGCGCCCCTACCCGCGCCGTCGAGCGCCCTTCCTAGCGCCGTCGAGCGCCCCTTCTAGCGCCGTCGAGCGCCCTTACTAGCGCCGTCGAGCCCCCCCCCCCTTTTAGCGCCGGCGTGCGCCCCTACCCGCGCCCTCGAGCGCCTACCTACTCACGCCCTCGAGCGCCACCCTGCCGCCCTGCCCTCCAGGCCGCGCGCGGGCCTCCTCTGCACCCGCGCAGCCGCCCCTGGACCCCGAGGCGCGGCCCCTGGACCCCGCGACGCGTCGCCCTGCTCGTCGCGACGCCCCTGCGGGACCCCGGCGTCGCCCCTGCCTCGTCGCGACGCCCCTACGGGACCCGCGCGTCGCCCCTGCCTCGTCGCGACGCCCCCTGCGGGACCCGCACGTCGCCCCTGCCTCGTCGCGACGACCCTGCGGGACCCGCGCGTCGCCCCCGCCTCGTCGCGGCGCTTCTGCGGGACCCACGCACGTCGCCCCTGCCTCGTCGCGACGCCCCCGCGCGACCCGCGCGTCGCCACCGGGACCCGCGCGCGTCGCCCCTGCCTCGTCGCGACGCCCCCGCGCGACCCGCGCGTCGCCACTGGGACCCGCGCGGAGTCGCCTCTGCTCGCCGCGGCGCCCTGCCCTACCCCGCGCCCGACCTTGGGACGGCCGCCCCTGGCCCCTGGAGCAGCCGCCACTGCAGCAGCCGCCCCTGGCCCCTGGAACAGCCGCACCTACAGCCGCCCCTGGACCCTGGAGCAGCCGCCCCTGCAGCAGCCGCCCCTGGCCACCTGGAGCAGCCGCCACTGCAGGAGCCGCCCCTGGCCCCTGGAGCAGCTGCCGTCGCGGCCCGGCCCCGCCCTGCAGCAGCTGCCGCGGAGCTCCCTGCCGCGGCCCGGCCCCGCCCTACAGCTGTAGCGGCCCCGCTGTCGCCGCCGTCTTGCGCCTGCCCTTCCCACCCCTGGTGAGCACTGCCCTGCCCGCGCTGCTACCGCTGCTACTACTGCTACTGCTTTTACTGCTCCTGCTATTACTGCTGTTACTGCCGCTACTGCTGCTACTGCTGCTCCTGGCGTGGCCAGATGCAGCTCCACGGCCGTCCGCGTGTGTCCCTCACGCCCCAGCAGCTTCGTGAGTGGTACGCCAATTGGGGTTGTCGGGGTGGCCGTAGTGGGAGTCGTCCTGGAGTGGGTAGTTCGGGAGCTTCTTGTAGTGGCCCGGTGCAGCAGCAGCGTCGTCCGCGCAAGCCTCTTTCGCCCCAGCAGCTTCGTGAGTGGTACGCTCAGAGTAGAGGGTCGCTGAGTACTGCTCGCTGCCCGTACGTTATTAGCACGGGTGCCCGGACTGGTCAGCCTTGCGGGACGCGTGGTCACACAGAGCCCCACTGCTTCGCCCATCTGAGCGACGCTT